AGGACTAGTGTGGATGTCTAGAGGCACAAAAGGCCCCTATCTGGCACGAAACTGTCGTTGTTTTGAGTTACCAGCGGCGCCCTGCTTTCCATTTTATAGGCCAAGGGAAAGCACGGGTTACAGCGGAAGGAAAGAGAAGAACGAGAGGGAGCAGGGTCACCGGGTCCTTCCCCTTCATGTGGGTCCCACCAACACTATAGATGTCAACAGGGATGGCGCCACATCGTGGTCTTGTCCATCACTGGCGCCATGCGTAGGCGTCGTCTGCCGGTTACGGCGCTCCACTCTGTCCTGGCGGACATCATGGTGAACTGATGTGCCTGACAGTGTTCGTACAAGGGTTAGGTAGAACAATACTGGTACGCCCGACGCTGTTCTTGATGTGAATCTTCTAGTATGGCCCGTCATGGCCACGGGTTACATCAGGGCATGCTAGTCTCTTCCCTGGTGTCAGGGCTTTGACCTAGGCCCATACGCTTGGACCTAGAGTGGTTGGTGGCGGTATGGGCCTCCGTCGGGCGAGGCAGAGCGCAAACCCAAGGGTTGGGCGAGGAGGAGCCCATGGCCTTAGGGTCAGGCGAGGCAAAGTGCCAACCCAAGGGTCGGGCGAGGCGCAGCCCGCGGCCTTAGGGTTGGGCAAGGCGGAGCCCGCAGCCTTGGGGTCAGGTGAGGCTGAGTCCATGGTCCTAGGGTCAGGCGAGGCGGAGCGCAAACCCAAGGGTCGGGTGAGGCAGAGCGCGCCCCCAGAGGTCAGGTGAGGCAAAGCCTAGGGCCTCGGTGTCGGGTGAGGTGGAGCGTCAACCCAAGGGTCGGGCGAGACGGAGCCCACGGCCTTGGGGTCGGGCAAGGCAGAGTCAGCAGTCCTAGGGTCGGGCGAGGCGGAGCGCGAACCCAAGGGTCGAGCGAGGCGGAGCCCACCCCCAAAGGTCGGGCAAGGCAGAGCCCACGGCCTCAGGGTCAGGCGAGGCAGAGTGCGAACCCAAGGGTCGAGCGAGGTGGAGCCCACCCCCGGAGGTTGGGCGAGGCGGAGTCCGCGGCCTCGGTGTCGGGCGAGGCGAAGCCCACCCCCAGAGGTTGGGCGAGACGGAACCTGTGGCCTTAGGGTCAGGCGAGACGGAGTCCTCCCCTAAGTGTTGGGCGAGGTGGAGCTTGCATGCCTGGGGGTCAGTTGGAGTTGTAGTCACGCTCTTGACTGCTTGGATGAATCAATGTTGATGGTCATTAGCTCCTCCTCTTTGGGTACCCTAGTATTGGCCCCCGACATTGCTCTTAATGGTTAGGGAGAGAGGCTCCTCCCTCTTCTATCCCCAGCCCCTTGTGGACAACAGCTTCTAGATGATCTCCATGGCTCCTAGCAGCTGTTGGGATGTTCCAATCCGTCTCCTTTTCTCTCCTCCTTGCCTTCTCCTTGCTCTATGTGGTGTAGAGAGAGAGGGATGAACTAGAGCGAGAGTGGGAGTGTGAGAGTGAGTGGAGAGTGAGAGAGGGAGTGTTCTGGTTGTTGGTTTGCCTCTCTCACGAAATGGGGACATGTGGCCTGACTTGTGGGGCCAGGACAGCTCCACAAGTGACAGCTCAAATCTGTGCATCTCATGTTTAGCGGACGATCCGTGTGAGCGCTAGATGATCCGTCAAAGCACGAACAGTTTGACAAAACTGTAAGTCTGTGTAAATGTTCTAGCGGAACATTCTGCGTGTGCGGTGGATGATCCGCTAGGACATGCAGTGCCCAGAATTGTACATTTTCTTCATCACTTAGTTTTCTAATTTGAATCTCAAATGCAAATGATGCTCATTATGATGATGATGATGATTAAGTCATGATCGGGTCATGACACGATGCCTTCAAACCCTAGTTACCCTCAAGCCGTGCCACGTGTGCGCGTCGGACCCAAACCTTTAGTCCGATGCCACCATGACAACTTGGTTCGACGCTCAAACAACCCCTCTATTCACTTCCAAATCAAAATCATTATGAATTGGGTTGACTCCAACTGATTCTTGAACCTTCTCGTAGCTACTTAGTGCTAAGTTTGATAAGTGTGCACCACATCTAAACTATTAGACTCACCTAGGTCAAGCTACTAGTTCATACCCCCCTTTATAGTACAGCTAAAGGTTAAACAAAGTCCTAAACTACTCTAAGTGTCTCCCAACTCCAATCAACACTTAGAACTAGTCCATCTTTAACCTTGTCGTCCATCATTTGAAAACCGAAACGAATTCCATCACTAGGGGCGTGAAAACCATTGATTACCCAAACAATCACCATTATTATGATCTAACTCTACAAAACATATGTTAGTCACAATAATCTTGTGTAGTCATAAATCACCAAAATCTAACTAGGGGCCGAGATGCTTTCACTTGTTCCCAAACCAAATGCAACCTAAACCAATATGGATCTCCTAAACTAACGTCCTCCACTTTCACATAGTGTCACCGGCATGGTGCGCTGTCGAGGAGTGCCTCGGTGCCACACTCCTGATGCCAAAGACGCCTCTCCTTTAGGACTCCAATTGAGTGGGGATGTGTTCACAGATACGTGGGAAGAGAGGACAAGGGAGGGCAGTGGCGGAGACATGATTTTACACCAGGGTATTCCACATACAAAATTTTTCAATACAAATATGCAATATCTTGGACCATAAGTTCATAACATAATGACCATAACAAGAATACAATGCAAAAAATTAGATTGCACTGATTTACTCTAGATTTCATCGATCAAAGATTTTAATTTGTTTTAAATTAAAGAAGGAACGAAATCTAAACATGGAAGCCTGAAGCCTAGATTGGAGAATGGATCTGGAAGAGGGAGACGCCGAGCCAAGCGAGGCTGGGAGTGGGGCCGAGCCCCCAAGGGTGAGGGGTACTACCATGCTAGCTGTTGGAAACTACAGTTACCGCCAATGGCTTCAACATCGTCCACTCCGTTGTTGGACTCTGGTTGCCGACTGCAGGAGAGAGGGGGCGAGTTGAGCGGACAACGGAGCTAGGAGGGGGCGAGAGGGAGCCAGGGAGGGGCGGTGCTGGCAACGTCGTGACTGCCCCTTCCGATTTCTGCATCAATGCGCCGCAACTCGCCCACCCATAAGGCTCTATATATGCCACGAACGGAGGATGCTGACTCGCCAAACAGAAGAGCGGAGACAGGAGATGGGATGCAGTTTTCTAGTGACTTCGTGGGATGATAGTGATAAAAGGTCGATTGGGCTTATGGGCCAATTTACAACATGATGTAGCTTCAGTGGTAGGTGACGTCCCCATCGACAGCGGCGCCTGCGGTGACTTTGTGAATCTCAAGATCAGCTGGCTCAGTCCTTCGGAGGTGCTATAGTGGTAGGGTTTGCGTACGTATGTTCATAGGGGTGAGTGTGCGTGCATGTTGTGGACGTCTACGTTGTACTATGTAATTTAAAAAAAACTTATATACATATATTTGTTTGTGTTGAAAAAATCATGGGTATTCTCTGGAATACAGGGCATATCCCTAGCTTCGGCAATGAGGGAGGGTGGTCATGACAGGTGGATCCGATCTAAGTTAGCAGGCTGACTGGCAAGTGGATACAACGTGACGGTCAAACCTAACCAAAGCCAAACATCAAAAGGCCAGGTGTGGTGGCTAAGTATTGCCGCTTTTATATAGTTGAATGGTTACAGATTTCTGATTTTTTTATTTTATAGTGGCTAAAGTAAGGGGAATCTTCCCTCGTTGCCACTAAAAATTATAGCACTTTCTTCATTGTCATCAAAATTTCTAAATTTCCCCTGCTGCCATTAGAACAAACTTGCATTTCTCTATCTGCCATTTCCGTCACTTGTTAGCAACGCCGTTAGGCGCGGCCAGGCGACCGACAGGACGATGGCGCGTCGGACGCACCGTGCCTTGTTTCCGAGGATGGCGCAGCTTGCCGCTCGCCGTTGTCCCTGCTTGTGGCTTGCCGCTGCCCCCGAGTGTGGCTTGTCGCTGTCTGCAGCCCCGGTTGCCGCCCCCCACGGGAGCGCCCAGCTCACTTCGCCGCAACCTCGCTCGCTGGTGCCGCTCGCTGCTGTCCGCGCGAGGTCCTCGCGTGCCGCTCTAAGCTGTCCGCGCGAGTCCACCGGCACCAAAGCGGCCTCGCCATGCACCGGCGCCGCTGTCACGACCCCGCACGCGAGCTCCTAGCTTGTTGCCCAACGCGAGGTCTGCCGGCGCTGCTCCCCGCACGAGGTCTGCCCGCGCTGCTGTGAGCCGACTCCGCGTCGGTGTCGGTGGCAGGCGAGGTGTCCCGTCGGTGGTGGCACGAGGCCCGCCGCGTGGCCCGCCCGTGGAGTCAACGGCGCCCGGTAGCACGAGGCCGGTCGCGTGGTGGCGGCGGCGCCCGGCGGAACGAGGCCTGCGCGTGGCCCGCGCTTGGTGGCTCCCACGGCACGAGGCCCAGCCGCGCAGCCCGCTCCTCTGGTCAGTCGTCAACGGGTTGCACGGCGCCCGGTACCACAAGTCCGCCGCTGCATTCATCTGGCGACCGTAACAGAGGATCAATGGTGGGGCCCAGCTGTCGGCGACTAGAACTTAATAGGTTCTAACGGAAGTGGCAACTAAGGAAACACAGAAAACATTTTATGGCAGGGAAAGAAATTTGGAAATTTTGATGACAATAAAGGAAATGCTATAATTTTTTTTAGTGGCAACGAAGAATGGTCTCCTAAAACAAGAGTGCCGATAGTTCGATGGCAAAAAATGTACTTCACTAAAACGAAAAGTAGCTTTTACACACATGGCATTCCCAAGCAAACGTACAAAAGTAGCTTCTAGGAGCAAGTTGTAACTGAAACGAAAGGTAACGGTGGTGGCGCAATCTAGAGTAGAGTCCCGTACCCGACCGACTGGACAAACAACGTAACGGAAATAAAGCTGCAGGTGAAGATCGGCCGCATTCCATGGGTCGTACAACCAGCGATTCTTATCCCAAAGGGGAAGGTCTGGGTCGACGTCGACCGATTAGATCCATCTCCAGCTACACCTTGCCTGCCCATAGGCACTCGAGCTGGGAGACGACGTCGCCGCCATTATTGCGGCCGTCGCTCTTGCTCTTGGGTGGTGGAGACGAGGCGCCGCCGCCGTGATGCTGCTGCCGGAGGATGAGGTCACGGAGGTGCGGCGGCGGGCGCAGGCCCATCGCGGCGGCGCGCTCCCACCGCCGGAGCCGCGTGACGCCAATGCACGGGCCGTAGCACATGTCCATGTCGAACTGCCGGAGCTCCTCCTCCTCGGCGGTGCACCCGCCGCCGGAATCTGAGCATATACATACATGTCAAGTTGTCAATGCGACGATACATGTATACTGTACGCACGACATGCCGCATAGTAGGTGTACGTACCTGCGTCGCCTTGGCACTGTTGCTGCTGCGATTTGCCTTTCTTCGATTTCTGTTTGGACGTCGACTTGCTGCCTTTCTTCCTCTCCGGATAGATACCCTTCAGTCGACCGCGTGTGGGCGCCATCTCAGCACGTGACCCTCTTCTCCGTCGCATATATTTATATAAATAAATATTATATATCCCAATATTGTTGCTGTCTCGAGTCTCGATCTGCTCCGTTCCGCCTCCTCATCAAAAGAAGAAACAGAGTCCGTGCACTCACCGGCGCTGCCTTACACGGCAGTAATTGGTCATAAGAGCACATCTATCTAGAATAAAATATTTTAGGCGGCAGCAACTGGCGCTAGGAGTATCTCTCTAAAATCTTATTATTGGGATAATTGTATTTCCAAAACGATTTTGAATTAATAAAGGAAGCTCGTCACCGCAGCAACTCCTGTTGCCATGCACGGCTCCACAAACGGGCTTGCGGCCCAACTCGGTGCGTGCAATAGCAATATCGTACTATCGTTTGTGGCATGAACACCAGCCCGCTTTCATCAAAAGCCTCTAAATTGTACATTTGCTCCAATATAGTTTATAAACTTTGTTCTAACTTCTAAGTTGATCTCCTCTAACTTTAACGAAATTTTTAGAAAAATATATATTAGCACATATACAAGTTCAAATAATTGTATTATCAAGACCACTCATGAAAATTTATGAAATTAATTTCATATTCTAGGTATATGTTGATGGATTTTCTATATGAACTTGATCAAGAATTCAGAGAAATAATTAGAACAAACCTACAGTGAACTATTGTTTCAGATGGAGGAAGCAGTAAGCATTAATCGCTAATATTATTTAAAAGTTGAATTTGAGTAGTCCTTCAAAGAATTCAACTTGTGTTGTGTGTATTGGATGATAGCTGAAGAACTAAACATTGTTTTATTAAAAATCAACATTTGTGGACTTTACTGTTAGTCCAACACAAGGTTCACTTGTAGAGAAGTTCTTCACAAACCAAAGGAACATGTATGGCGGCTCACTTGATTTTTTTTTTCAGAATTCAGATCATGCAGTAAATAAAAGTATAGCAAGACCAAGATGCATTCCAAGCTGCTAACCAGCAACTACATATGGCCGCAAAGTACAACTGTACAAGTCAACCATTCACCATACTTTTTTGCAGATGATTCTTCGTACCGAAATAACATTTACCATATTTGACTCTATCATAATATGCAATTTCAACAGCACAGGATATCATCGGCAATTCCGTTTGTCCCGTATCCTTAACATAGACAACAATACCCAGGACTAATCAGCAGCCCAGCACCACTTCAGACTCATTAGCAGGCCAAAGTAGCATAATACTAGTTGCAGATATACACCTGGGTCCTTGGGAAGAAAAGTGAAACAATTGTATTTAGAATTTTATTAGATACATCATTGCCTTATTTACAGAACCAGTGAAATATTGCACAAAGTAAATGCATCATGTCCAAGAAAAACGAGGTCTCCGTTCTTTGGCCCATACCTTCACCTTCCTTAGGCTTATCTCTCATCAACTAGGTCAACAAATATAACTACATTTTGTATCATATAGGTAGAGAGAGCTCAAGATATCTCAAGAGAGAAAAATGTATTTCGTCAGCATCTCTTGCTTCTTGATCCCAACAGGACCACCAACCCTCTTGCTGTCACTAGCACTGGTTCTTGCAAGACAATAGCCATGCTGACAATCTCTGGCAGTGGCACAGTTTCTATAGCTTCAAGTACAGGAACATTTTCTTTTGGTAACTAAGCAAATTGGTGAACACCTTTTCGCCTCAACAGTAGCAAGATAGAGAGAGTTCAAAGCAGATAATGAATGCATGGCAAATAAATAAGTATTTTGTCAGTACTAAAAAACTCTGAGGCATTGCAGACAAGGTAGAAATTTCTTCGAACTACAGGATCAAGAGAAGGCCCTGAAAGCTGGCTTCACAGGATGCGCTGCGGACAGGTTCATGACAAGATGCCACTTTTTGTCAGTAATAACAAGGGAGACTATCTTCTCAGGCTTCAGAGATGATCTAACTGTTGATCTGATCACAACTGAGGCCGCAAGGATGTTATCTGATGCTAAAACAAAATAGCAATAGGAGTTGTCCATAAGACAAGGCACCAACTCAGGGGGTGGTAGTTGTTCCCTTGCAAACGCTTTTGAGGAGTATTCATCAGTTAAACGCAACAAAAGGCAATAAAGGCCTTGAGGAATAGCAATTGCAGCATAGTGTTTGTTTAGCTGCTCTGATAACCTTGATGGTCTCAATTCCTTATCCATGCTCTCCATCTGCATGGTATAATGTAGAAAATGAGTATAAGAACTGCAACTTGCTGATAAGAGAGAAGCATAGAAAGTTGTATAGATTGGCACACTAGCTGATATCAAACTTTAGGTTGGTGATCACCCACACTAGGTGCATTAGCTTTGTGGGACATTGTGTGAGTACCAAAAACTTTAGAGATTTCTACCATACTGATCTGATGTACAATAACTTGAGATTCAGATCGAGCTACTGATCTAGATGGAGGCAAGTAATCATTCTTTACAGCAAATTTGAGTCCTAAAATGTGGCATCCTTATTACGTCATTCGATCAAGTTATGAACCTTCAGATCTGAAAATACTTATGAGTTGGCTCAATTAGATACATTTCAGTTGAAAGGGTGTAAGTTTGTGAAACATTGAAACCGTACGCATTGTTATATGAAAAGACATCCTTTCGTATAAAACATGCTCTTAGACTACACTTTGGACAATATAAAAGTGAATACAGATCTTTTCATTAGTGTTGATAGTACAAGAAAACATTGACAAATAATCTCAAAGCAAAGCATGGGTGATAGCATCATTAAATATCAAATTAAAAGGACATCCAATTTGTATGAGAATCAGGTTTATACATAACCAAACAACATTAACTAAGAACTGACATAAACTAAAAGTTTATTGCCAAAAGTAAGTGCCGGCATGGATAGCAATGTTTTCAAGGTGGTAAGGCGAGGCGTGGCGACTGACTACCGCCTTACGCTAAAGCGACTAAGGCGTGAGGCGAGGCGACGCCTTAACATCTTAAGTGAATCTTAAAAGAGCAGCTTAGAGTGGTAGATAATGAAGAAAAACAAAAAGGAAAAAGGAAAAAGAAAGGAGAAGGAGCAAGAAGTAGTCTGGCCTAGCCCACCAGGCAGCCCATATACCCCTCTCTGTCTCTTGCTTCATCTCCAGCGCCGCCGCACCTCTCTCTCTCTCTCATTCTCCACTGCCGCTCCGCCTCCACCCCTCTCTGTCTCTTGCTTCCCTCTCTCCTCCAGATGTGCTGCTCTTCTTGCTTGATAGACGGAGGAACAGAAGGGCTTTGGATGCTGCAGCTCGATGGAGGAACAGAGGAGGCAAGATGTTGCAGGTCAGCGCCGATTGGGGGAACATGGCCGCAGCCCGCACAGGTGGCCGCACGGCTCGGCGGCAGGCGGGCAGCAACTTCTCCCGTCGGCGCGGGAGAACGCGTCTGCATGGGCGAGCTGCGGCTTCTTGTTCCCCTCCCGCTCTCCTGCTGGTGAATCTCCTGCACGCCCGCTCTCTCTCTCTCTCTCTCTCTCTCCCTCCGGCGCGCTCTGTTTCTCCTGTGCACCCCTTCTCTCTCAGTTTTCCCCGCCGTTTCCTACCGTGGCCATCCCCGTATGGCGCCCGCCTTGCTCGATTTCGACGAATCGGACGCCAAATCGACGACTTCCGGACGCCATGGTAGTAAGGCGGACGCCATACCAATCTGAGGCGAGTCGTCCCGCCTGTAGCGCCTTGCCGATTAGGCGACGCCAAAGCGACGCCTTAAAAACATTGATGGATAGTTTACTCTCAACATTTAAATGAATTAGGGAAAGAAAGAAGTTAGCTTACCATAGCGTTTGGTTTAAAAGCAAACGACCTTAAATTATATTTAGCAAAAATTATACTGGCAGTCTCCAATTTAGCAAAATTAGAATGGCAGTCTTCAAATTTTCCCTTCTTCATATCCCAGATAATTCATAAAAAGATTCTGGAATCTTCAAATCAACAGGAACTTCCTCAGGATGTATTTCATCAAGCATCACATACAAATCCCAAACAAGTTTCTGCATGTTATAATACAAAGTTCAAATAAATAAAAACCTAAAAATGTAAGAAAAAGATTAAAGGACATATAAGCACCATGGAACTAAATTGTTTCCCCTACCAAGAAGGCTCAGACCAAATCTTCTTCCTACACAATCTGATAATAGCAGTTGGCAAACAGTAACAGGTTATTGAGCAGACATAGTATACAATGACATTTTATAAAGAGAACTGAGGAATGAATAAAATGGTTGTTGCAACAAATAGCCAAATAATGAGAACCCACCCCATGCTGAGTTGCATATTGCCTCAAACCAGCAGCAGTGATAGACACTTCTTTCGTTTTAAGACTTCACATTTTTATTTAAGTATATAACTGAAATTCTACACATCAAGGTGTACCAATCCCACTATGGTTGAGGCTTACCATAAGCAAGCACAGCCGGTTCCACTGGTCACATGATGGATGGCTGCTTTGTTTATGGTTGCATCGCATCAGAATTCAGAAGCTGGAGGAGAGCATAAGTCTCTGAGATCTGCCGTGGGAATCTCCACAATTTCTTTTTGTAGTATAATCACAAGCATGCCCATATCACTCACTGAACAAGCAGTTCATGGCCAACCGGAACACAGCCAGCAAACTTAACATGCGAACTCAGCCTATCAATCATATCAGATATCTGGTCAGACTCTGGGTGCTTTCTGTCCCCAACTGTGAACTCGTGGAATGCCTCATCAAGTTCTATCCAGCTTGAGCCAGCTGTTTTCTGAGACCCTGTTCCTTTCATCTGCACCCTTGCCTTCGCCATATCGCTCCACTTCCCAGCCTCTGCATAGATGTTCGACAAGACAGCGTAGTTCCCTGCATTTGAGGGCTGCAAGTTGCTCAGCTCGTTCACTGCCAGTTCTGCATACTCCACGTTCTTGTGCAGTCGGCATGCACTGAGCAAGCACCCCCATATGACCTCATTAGGCTCCCAAGGCATGCTTTTGATCATGTCGACAGCCTCCTTAATGAGCCCTCCACGGCCAAGAAGATCGACCATACAACCATAATGCTCCATCTCAGGCTTAATGCCATAGTCTCTCTCCATGTTGGCAAAGAACCTCCTTCCTTCTTCCACAAGCCCCATGTGCGTGCAAGCGCTGAGAACATTGATGAGCGTCACAGCATCAGGGTGAAAGCCTTGCTGCTTCATTTGTGCGAAGAGGTCCAGCGCCTTTTCACCATGCCCATGCATTGCAAACCCTCCAATTATAATGTTCCATGACACTGAATCCTTTTCGACTATCTCAGTGTCGAAGATGTAGTCAGCTCGGTTAACACATCCACACTTGCAGAACATGTCCATCAGGGCATTGCATACAAGGGTTGATCTTCCCAGCTTCCTCTGGCGCACATGCCGGTGAATCCTCTTCCCAAGGGCAAGGAAGCCAGACTCAGCGCATGCAGCCAGGATACTCACAACTGCAACTACGTCAAGTTCAATGGCAGCCTCCTTCATCTCAGTAAACAACCTGCCTGCTTCCTCCACAAGCCCCTTCTGAGCGCACGCTGAGACCATTATGGTCCATGTCACCAAGTTCTTGGCCGGCATCTTATCGAATATAACCCGCGCCATCTCCATGTCGCCCTTCTTACAATAGGCTGACACCACAGTCGACCAGGACACCACATTCCTCCCCGGCATGCGCTGGAACAGCTCGAAGGCCTCCTCCGCCTCCCCAGCTTTGGCATAGCCATCCAGCATCGTGTTCCAGCTCACCGTGTCCTTCTCGGGCATCTCGTCAAACATGCTCCTTGCTGCGTCCACCTCCCCTTGCCGCACCATTGCGGCCATGGCCGTGTTCCAGGACACAACGTCCCGTGTCGTCATTTCGTCGAACACCTTCTTCGCGTCCGAGAGCCCATCGTTCTTGGAGTAGGCGTCGATCAGCGCATTTCCAACGAAGGTATCCTCGACGGACCCGAGCTTGACGACGTGCGCGTGCGCCGCGCGGACGGGCGTGAGGCCCGCAGTGGCGAGCGCCTTGATGAGGAAGGAGTAGGTGAACGTGTCCCGCTGCCGCAACGGCATGTCGACGAACACGGCGAGCGCGGCGTGGGGAAGGGAGTTGAGCGCGTAGGCGCGGAGTAGCGTCTTGGTGAGCAAGGCGGTGTTGGGGGCGAACGGGCTGCTCGGGAGCGCCGCGGCGGCGGAGAAGACGCAGCGGCAGGCGGGGACCCGGCGGAGGAGCGCGTAGGAGGAGATGAGCTTGGACGCGGCGCGCGGGTCCCGGTGGAGCCCCTGCTTGAGGAGCTGCGCGTGGAGCTCCTGCACGTGGCGGAGGCGTGGGAGGCCGTGCGGGAGCGAGGCCAGGTGCTCCTCCACGAGCCGGCGGTGCGACGGCGCGCCGCCCCACTTCGGCGCCGGGCGCAGCGCGGAGGATGCGGCAGCGGACATTGAATCTCGGTGCGTCGACGTCGGCGGCGCCGGCGCCGGCGCCGCCTTGGTGGATGGTCGCCGCGGAGGAGGGGGTTCTCGGCCGGCGAGGAATGGGTGGGAGTGGGAGGGAGCTCGGGAAAGGGGAGGCTTGGGGATGTGGTCTGGCTGGCTGACATGTGGAGCTGAGCCAAACCCTTGGACTAGGGGATAAGTTGGACCGTGTGGTGAACTGGTGACGGGCATGCAGTGGACCATTATTTCCACGGGGCCCTGTGGCCTACTTCTGGCCATGCTAAGCATTGGGCCTGAGTGCCCAGGGGGCTAATGGGAGGGCCCAGGGATGGCAATTCTCCTCGGGTGTATCGTATGTAACGGGTATGTTTGCTAAAAAAATGTAACGGGTATGTTTCTCAAAAAAAAAAATGTAACGGGTATGGACGTGGAACCGTGGACATAGAATTTCACCCGAAGTTGTGGGTACCAATATAGGTCCTGTTCGTTTCGCTCAAATCTGGCTGTTGTTGATGCTGGTGCTGGTTTGGTGTGAGAAGAAAACATTGTTCCTTCGCTGATAAGTACTGCTGAAAACACAGGGCGATAAGGTTCTACCCGTGGGTGTGGGTATGTCGTTTCACCCGTAGGGATGGCAACAGGGTGGATTCAGATCAGGTGAAGTCTCCATGGACCCGAACCTGAAACCCAAACTCAAAACCCAAAACCGCCCCGAACACCAATTTAGATGGTAAATCTGATTGATTCCTCAAAACCCAAAACCCGATTGATTTCATAGGAGAGGACCTCGATCTTTGCCGCTGGATAGGGAAGCCGGAGGTGGTTAGGTATGCCATGTGTGACGAGAGGGAGGGAAACGACCGAGACAAGAGTCCGGACTCGGAGGGGAACACGAGTGTTGTTTTTCATTTGACATGTGACCCACCATATAGATTACTTTATGGTTTCACATTGTGAAGGTAAATCTAACAATTAGCCTAAACCCAATAGCACTAACGGAGATGCCAATAATGCTGAAAGAGATAAACATATATCAATAATATAATATTGCATGCCACACACAGGCCCTGCCTCGCAACTTTTGAAGCTTAGCAGTAATTAGCTGACAAATTCAAGTTGGACAGTTCTGAAGCTAGCTCTGAAAGTGTAGAAACGCGGTTTCAGTTTCATTATTCTGCATTGTTTGCTTTAGGCATATGGGCAAGAGGAAACATGAAAACATCGCACAGCACACCGCCTGCTGTGTGAGGGAGATGCCTAACAGTCATCCTGTGTGGGGGAGAGGCCCGCTGCATGGGACTTCCGGGCTGAGGGCAAGGCGAACTCGGGACTGCGTGGACCGGAAAGCCAGGCCAGGACAAGCCGTCGGGGGCCTCGGGGCCCAGAAGGAGGAAACTGGAAACATCAGTGAGTCGTCGGCCCGGTCCGGTGGCACAGGACCCGCGAGAGGAGTCGAGGGCGGCGAGAGACCCTCCTCCACGCCACGGTCCTCGTCGGGCGGGACAGCGACGCGGAAAGCGCGGGGTGTCGCGGCGCTGGACGTGCCGCCTCCCCCGTCGTGGACCGGCGGACGATGGGCCGACGACGAGAGCCGAGAGCGAGACCTCCCGCCCGCACTAGCCAAAAGGCCACAGCGGGGTCAACACGACCACCAATTTGTTTTAATTAAATAATTTATTGATTATTAGACTGTCTTGGCTTCCATTCTGTCGGTAAAAGATTCAATATCTATTTTTAGTCTTCTCTAATAACAAGACTTAAAAGAAAATCCTTTCTACAAATAAATTTTCAGGAGAGAAGGTTATACCTCTTTTGATATCTAAAATGGATATTTATATAGATACTTTGTAAGAGGCTATATATATTATGCTCTAGACTTTAGGGGCCTGTTTGCTTGTATGAATTCTAGAGGAATCTAGATGGTTTGGAGGAATGCTAGAGGAATTTATGAGAGAAACATTATTTCGAATAAAAAAATAAACGGATCAAGCCGAATTTAAGTGCACGCGAACGGGACGTAGGTCTCGGGTCCTGTCGGTGATCAGCGCGCCGTCGCTCTCGCGCACGTCCAGCGGGCGCACACCACGTTGCATGGACACCGACGCCGGCCCGCTCGTGGCCCCCATCCGGTCCATATCCCTCGCTGATTCCCCCGGCGCCGGCTAGCAGCGGCTCGATTTCCTCTCCTCCCCCCAGGGCCCGGGCCCCGGGCCATTTCGCTGTCCGTCCCTCTCGTCTCTCCTCTCCCACCGTACCGGCGCAGGCAAGTGCGGGTGAAACGGCGACGAGTGGCGCCGCGCCGACCGTCGCCTGGCTCGGCTCCCTGTTAAATTTTGTCAATCGACAATACCTGTTCCTGTCCGCCAGATCGTCTAGACGTCTAGAACGTGCAAGAAACCCTTTTTTTTTCTCTGACCGGCCGCCTCTGTCTAGCTCTGCCGTGAATTACCTGAGTCAGCATGGCACGTCGAGTTGTTCAGTTAATTAATTAATTATGCTGGTGGAAGAGACTACAGAGATATTTTGAGAAAAAAAAAAGATATACAGCTCTTCATACAGTATATACTAGCAGTATCTCTCCAATCTTTTGGCGCACATCGTCAAAATTTCATTGCTTACCGGCGAATTGGGGACTCTGCTCAGTCGTCAAGCCACCGCCGTGTTTTTCTTTTGGGTTTTATTTAGTCTTGGCCTGGGCCTGTCTGCTTCTCGCTGCACTTGTGTTAATTCTTTGCTTGGCTGCACGATTAATTGAAATTTTGACCTTTTAAACTAGAGACAGACACATCTATATACCTCAGAACAGATATTTTGCTTACTTCTCTTTTACTTTATCTTTCCCTGATATCGCAAAAAAAAAAAAGTTCTTTGTGTTTGAACGTCAAAGCTAGTAGGGCCTCTTTAGAATTCAGACGCTATGCTCTCGGGCCTCGGCGAATCTGTTGGGCACGCCAGAATACCAGTAGACAAACCGTCAGTTTCTCTCGAGATAAAACAAAACACCTTGCATATATGGTGGCCTCATGCGTCCCGCCAACTGAACACCGATTCTTCTAGGATGATCTTGTTGTGCATCTATCCCCGCATTATCTTTCAAGTTACCACCCATGGAATCAACAAAATCATTTCCCTCATGAATGTGAAAATACTCCACCCATCCATCTTAAAAAGCCACTTGCCCTTAGCCCTTAGGTTATCGAATCCTATATCAGAGCAACTACAATAATAGTCTTATCACTATATGTATTTTTTTTATGATACGGAGAAGAGAAGGGAGAGGAAAGAGAGGAGAGCTTGACTCTCCTGACAAGTTGGGAACTAACTGAAAAAGATAATGTGAGACAAGTAAAAAGTAGTACCAGATAACAATAATAATATTTTTTTATAAACAAATAGAAAACAACTATTGTATAGCTTAGCTTTTGCAACTTTGACTTATATCCAAACACTTGGCTTTACTATTGGGCTTGTTGTATGTCTAAGACAGAGTAAATCTTGCTATTCTTAAGTTACCCCCCCCCCTGATATAATGTTATTTTTTTTTCATCCTCTCCTTGGTCAGAAAGTATTAACCTCTTGATTTGAAATCCTCCAAAAAGATGTTTGCTATCTACTGAATAAAGTCGTATGTTGGTTTCTAGTGTATACTATGACTTACTTTTGATATCTTTAGATGGAGGAGAAGTTAATGAAAATCAACTATTTCTTTCGTCCTCTTAAAAATAGACACAAACACATCTACGTATCTCCTATATATCTCAAATCATTTGCCAGCTTCACATTTTATCTTTTCCTTACATTTTGTCTTATGACAAGAAGAAAGATATTGCAAAACTAAAAGACGTTCCATTACGTTCAACTCTATAATTAGGGCCATCTTAGGATCCAACCTCTGCACATTCCTCACTATCTCACAAAGTTGGTAAACAGAAAGAGGAAATTCTGAAGGAATTAGATGAAGAAAGGACCTTTTCCAATTGTGTTTAATGATGAAGAACAAAGAGGAGCCAAATCTAACACAAGCCACTTGCCGGATTCAACCAAGATTGAGCTTGATTACGCAAGAAGAAAGCCCACCCAAAATCCTATCCTCTTCTCCCCGGATCCAAAAAAGGCGTTGTTGGTGCGAAAAGTGACTAACAAGTAAATATTTGTAGTTTTGTTGTACGTTGTGATCGGATGTGGCCTAGCACTCAATGACACAGGGTCTATACGGGTTCAGGCAACGTGCCCTACGTCCAGTTCCAGTCGGTCAGTGACTTTATTCCTGAGCCCAGGTGCTCGAAGTTTGCTGTGGGGTTACAAACGAGTGAGAATAAGAAGGGGTGTTAAAGGTCCGGTCGGGCTCTGGACCGAAGGGCTAAGAGTGACGGGAGCTCCTACGTGCGCTAAGTATTGCAACGTATGCTCTGTGTAGCTTTAGAGTTCTAAAGCCATGGAGCAGTTCGAGTGCTCAGAATGTCTAAAGCTTAGCAGAGAGAGAGTTGGAATGACTGTCCTTTATTTTAGGAGAGAGCTCATCCCCTTTTATAGGTGAAGGGGATGGCCTTACAAGTTAAGAGAGAGAGAGTGTGTGCTTCCTAGTCTTGTTGCCCACGTCATCGGGTACAAGATAGTTTGTCAGCGCCCACAATACTGTTGACGCCCAGATGCATGTGGTAGGCTCCATTGTGTTCTTCTGGTATGGCAAATGTCGGCGCCTACCATACTGTAGGACAAATGTCGGCGCCCACAACACTATTTGTGTTCTGACATGTCTGAAAGGTTGCAAAGCACCCTTCTGGTATGGCCTGGCGGTACTGTCCTACAGGTGTGCGGGGTACAGTTCTCGGTATTACAGTTGACTTGAGCGCCTTGCCTTATTTGCTTCGCCTGATTCTTGGGTCCTCACCGAGCGGGCGTCTCCGGTCGGTCGTTCCCAGTCGGCTCTGACTGCGCTGGTCGGAGAAGAGCTGTAGGCAGAGGTTCGGTGTATTCCTAGTCGGAAGCGAGTGTTGTCCCCTACTTGGCCAGGTCTTCCGGTCGGAGACTGGATCGCTCTTCCGGCCTGTCGTTAGGTATCTGGGCCGACCCAGGAGTCGCGTTTTTGTCGTAATGCCGTCTACTGGGCCGAGCTTTTGCTGGGAAGCGGGCCCATCAGGGACCCTGGTTTTATGAACCCGACAGGAGCCCCCAAGCCCTTTTGAGACTTCTGTGAAGTCGTGAAGGGGCTGTTTATACTCGTTTGTATGAGAGCAATGGATGGGTGCAATATTGTGAGTCGCCGTCGGGCACGACGG